ATAGATTTTCATACTTATTCTCACACACACATACACGCATGTATTATTCATTCATTCATTCAACCAACAATTATTAATTGAGCACTGTCATGTCCTATTCTAGATATTGGACATAGAACAAAGAAAGAACATAGATCAAAACCCTTCTTCTCTTGAAGCTAACATTATGGTAAGGTAGCCAGTTAATATAAATATCTAAAATATATAATATGTTAGATGAGGTTAAGAGATAAAAAAGAAGTGTGGTCTGTGTTAAGGAAAGTTTCATGGACAATGTGCTTTTTAAGTAAGGAGGTAAAGGAAATGAAAGAGTGAGCCATATAGGTAAGCAAGGAACAACAATGCAGGCAGGGAAGAAAGCAAAGTCTTGGGGTAAAACTATACTAGATGTGTATAAAGTACAGTAAATAAAAATAGGAATATAGGAAGAAATTAGGAGAAGATAAAGCCAGAAAAATGAAAGTATGAAGCCATATAAAAGATGTAGGCTGGAACTATAGGCCATTGTAGGGACTCTCAACTCTTGGTGAGATGGAAACATTTTGGTAGTCTTTTATTTATTTTTTTTTTTTTAAGATTTTATTTATTTATTTGAGAGAGAGAATGAGATGGAGAGAGCATGAGAGGGAGGAGGGTCAGAGGGAGAAGCAGACTCCCTGCTGAGCAGGGAGCCTGATGCGGGACTCGATCCTGGGACTCCAGGATCATGACCTGAGCCGAAGGCAGTCGCTTAACCAACTGAGCCACCCAGGCGCCCTTGGTAGTCTTTTATGCAAAAGAGAAGCATGATCGGAGTCACACTTTTGACAGGAAAATTCTGGTACATTAACAATGAACTGTGGGGGGCGGGTAGAGACAAAGATGGAGAGCAAAAAGGTCACTTGGGAGACTATTGTAGTAATCCAGATGAAAGATAATGGTGGCTCAGGTGGAGGATTTAGTCCTCCGCAGTTAGAAAGAGCTACCACTAACAGAAGTTTTCTAAAAAATCTATAGATAGAGCATGTGTAGAGACAGTGTGATAAACCAATCAGGAGCTCAGTTTTGAACATGGTAAATTAACTGTGTATGTTAGACATTCCAAGTGAAGATGTCAAAGGGGTAGCTGTATATGTGAAGCTGAATGGCAGGGGAAAGAAGATTGCAGGTATATAATTGGGAGGCATTAACATATAAATGGCATTTAAAGGTCACCAAGGGAATTATTAGCATAAATAGAAAAGAAAAGAAGTCCAAATACTGATCCTCAGTAAGCCCAAACATTGTGATTGTGAGACAGGGAGAAAGCAGTTAATGTAAATGAAAGAATTATCCTTTTAGAAAGAAGGAAAACCCAGAGAGTACAATTTCCTCAAAGCCACATATACATCAAATGATGATAGTAGATCAAATGGAATTCTCCATTTGAATTCTCCATGGAATTCTCCTATTGAGAGTCATCAGTGACCTTGAGAAGAGCCATTTTGGTTGAGTGGTGGCAATGAAAGCTTGTTGGTGGAGGTTCAGTAGTGAATGGGAAAAGGAAAGTTGGAAAAAGTGAGTATAGGCAAAGAGATAAATGGAGCAGTCCTGGAAGGAATGTAAAGTAAAGAAAGGTTGTTTGTTTGTTTATTTGTTTTTGTTTTTATTTTTTATGTATGAAACAAATCCATATCTATGCACTTATAGAAAATTCCAGTAAAGAGGGAAAGTCAGTGAAAAGAGAAGGGAAATTGCTAAGCAAAGACACTGTCTATGATAGACAATGAGCTCTAGTTCACAAGGTGAGAGGGTGAAGATGTGTGGTAAAGGACACCGTATAAGCTCAGATGCAGGTGGATTACTGCAAATAGTTGTGGGGGCTTGTGGAAATTCTCTTCTGATTGTCCCTATCTTCTCAGTGAACTCAGTGAATTAGCTGAGAATGAGGTAGTAGGAAGTGGGCTGGAAATTTGAGGGAAAAGAAGGGATGAAATACTTGTGGGGCAGCTGACAAGTATAAACGGAATAATGGAATGTAATATGATTCAAAGCACATAATAAAGTTTTATGATTAGAAATTTTAAGTGAAGGGCGCCTGGGTGGCTCAGTCGTTAAGCGTCTGCCTTCGGCTCAGGTCATGATCCCAGGATCCTGGGATTGAGCCCCGCATCGGGCTCCCTGCTCTGCGGGAAGCCTGCTTCTCCCTCTCCCACTCCTCCTGCTTGTGATCCCTCTCTCGCTGTCTCTCTCTCTGTCAAATAAATAAATGAAATCTTTAAAAAAAAAAAAAAAGAAAGAAATTTTAAGTGAAAACAGATTGTGTGTATGCATGTGTTTTCCAGCCACTTGTGGTATACAAGTGTATATGTGGAATAACAAAAAAGTTAGCAATTTTTTTACATAATAGCATGATGAAATCAGAGAGGGTCAAGAAGTTTGGATTTCTAAACTGAGTAATAGAGAATCAAGGCATGCTACATGTGAGGAACAGAGAAAATGTTAGGACTGATGCATTGTAAGTGTTCTAGGTCAAACTGTGTCCCCCAAAACGTATGTTCAAGTCCTAACCTAACTAGTACCTGTGAATGTGACCATATTTGGAAATAGTCTTTGAAGATGTAATCAAGTTAAGATAAGGTCATGCTAGATTTGGGTGGACCTAATTTAATGGCTGATGACCTTTTACGAGAAAGGAAATTTGACACAGACACAGAGGTAAGACAGCCATGTGAAGACAGAAGTTGAGAATGGAGTTATGCTGCCACAAACCAAAAAACACTGAGAAGGTCAGAAACCACGAAAAGCTAAAAGAGACAAGGAAGGATTCTTCCCTAAAAGCTTCCCTTGATTATGGATTTCTTGACTCTTGATTATGGTCCCCAGAATTGTGAGAGAATAAATGTCTGTTGTTTTAAACCACTCAGTCTGTGAAACTTTGTTATATAATAGCCCTAGAAAACTAACACAGTAAATCATAGCAAGATCAAAGATGTGGCCATACCAGAGATATTTAGTCACAGAGACAGGAAGTGATGGCCGGAGTGCTCAGGATTGAGTGTTTATCCGTGGCAGTGAGTGGTGGAGGGGGTGTGAAGATCATTGAATAAGAGAACTTCAAGAAACTGAAATGCCAGGGAATTGCAAGGATTATCTTTGTGGATCTTAAAATCATCAAGAATTATGACAGTAGTAATATTAGAGAGAATGATAAGAATGTAGAAGTCAAAATAATACACTAATACTGGGAACTGATTTCAGGGCTTTAGATGACAGTAAAAAAGAGGGGAATAGATAGAATACTCTGAAGACATAAGATTCAAAGCTGATGTTATTTTGTATGTTTAAAAATTTCATTCAGTTGGTAGCATGCTATATGTATTCTTCAAATCGAATTTTTATGTAGCCTTATATTTGACATTTATCCATATAAATACATGTCCACCAACTTTTGCTATGTAATATTCCATTCTATCACTATGCAAAATTTGTTTATCAATTCCTGTTAATAGATGTTTAAGTTTTTTCTAGTTCTTAATATTAAAAGCAAAACGTTCTTCCATTGTTTTTGTTTTTATCCTATTGTATCTATAATTTTGTCCCCACTGTTTTTATTTATTTATTTATTTTGAGAGAAAAAGGGAAAGCGTTAGTTAAAATCTTTACAATAAAATAATTGTGATTATAAATCTCTTCAATTAAATATGTACACATGACCTAGTATTCTAAAAAATAATGGAAATGAATAGTTTCTCAAGCAAATCTAATGCACAAATGGACCATTTTTTAGAGGATGTCAGTTTAACATTCTTAAACAGCTATGTGAGACAATGGCTCTGCTTTGTGTAAAACATGATAAGCAAAATTAAGAAAAACTCTACAAAATTCTCTAGTTCCCCAAGGAAATTACTAAAAAAGGAAATAGTAAAAGAAAAAAAAAAAAAGGTGTATGCTTGAGCTTGATTGTATACAGAGGCTAGAATGACCAGCTCTACTGTAACCCCCATATCTGCTAATAAGTCCTTGGGTATCTTTAGTTTGAAGTTAATAGTTGAAGTCCTAGCAATTATGTTTTTATGCAGCTACATGGCCAATAAGGTAGATGTTGTTATAAAAGTGCCCTACAAAATCTTTACTAATGTTTTGAGCAGCATGACAGGTATCTAGAATAAATTCTCTTGTTGACATTTTGTTCTTCAGGTGAGGGCTAGTGAGGTCAATAGAAAGTAGAATCAGGGCGCCTGGGTGGCTCAGTTGGTTAAGCGACTGCCTTCGGCTCAGGTCATGATCCTGGAGTCCCTGGATCGAGTCCCGCATCGGGCTCCCTGCTCGGCGGGGAGTCTGCTTTGTCCTCTGACCCTATCCCCTCTCATGTGTTCTCTCTCTCAAATAAATAAATAAAATCTTAAAAAAAAAAAAAAAAAGTAGAATCAAAGAGTAGCACTGAGGGGGCTCCTGGGTGGCTTGGCCAGTTGAGTGTCCACTCTTGATTTCAGCTCAGGTCATGATCTCAGGGTCATGAGATTGAGTCCCACATCAAGCTCCCCGCCCAGCGGGAAGTCTGCTTGAGATTCTCTTTTTCCATCTCTTTCTGCTCCTCCCCCCACTCTCTCTCTTTAAAACAAATAAACTTAAGAAAAAAATGAGTAGCACAGTATATAGACTGCATCAAGACTAAGGCCAAGTTCTTGAATTAAATCAGGGTTACAAGCACAGAACCTATGTGAGAACTTTGCTAGCAGAGTTTCAAGAACTCCCCACACACTCTCCAGGGGCATAGACATGATGAAAAAATTCTCTCCGTGGATTGGGCAAGAATTGATTTCTAAAGTTATGCAACGTTACAAGGTCATCCAAGACATCTCTTCTTTCAGCAAGATAGAATCTCAGTTTTGTTTTTTGTTTGTTTGTTTTTCTCCCCAACTCAGTGTTCTTGTACAGAAGATAAACTTTGGTGAATCATCTAAAATACCCTTGGACATAAAGTAGTTTACTCCGTCCTCTGGGTTAGCAGTGAAGGTGAGGTTGCCTTCATCCAGCTGCATATACAATTTTCTGAAAGAAAATCCTAGAGGTGGGTTCTTATATATGGAACAGTGACCTCAAGTGGATTTACACAACGCTTGCCAGGGAAGTTCATCTTTTGCAAGGTCCTGCCAAACACATGAAATTAAGCAAAGGTCAGTTGCATTCAGGTAAAACAAGATGGTAAAGCTTAGCTTGAGGGGGCAACATTTCCAAATTAATGAATCCTTCCTGTTCTTTAGATTTCTGTACCTTCAAAAGGTGATATATATCAACGCCTCCTTGGACTTTTTTACTATGACTGCTGTTAGAAATGTTGCTGGCAGCCATCCTCCTGCTCTGTTCTCTGCTGAGATAGCTTCGCTTACTGTTGCCTTCCTGCTGTCGCTGCTGGTTTCTGGACACTCTCTACAGCCCCTGAACCATCTGCAAGCCCTTAGAAACTGGCTCATGTGATTGTGGCGGTCAGTGAGGCAAGTGTGGAATCTGTAGGGTAGGTTGTCAGAAAGGGCAGGCTGGAACTCTCTGAAATGGGCTGAAATTGCTGTTGGCAACCAAAATTTCTTCTTTTGAGAATCTGCATTATTTTCAAATTGTGCCTCCTGTCTTTCTTTGTTGATCTATCCTTCTCAAATTTTTTCCTCTTTTATTAGCCTCTAAGAAAAACTGGCTTTATAAAAAATATTGTTTTTTCTTTGTTTTCTAGAAATAATAACAGATTTTTTATAGTATAGATTTTGTACATTTCTAGATTTTGTGGGAGCACTATTATTGATATTATTTCACTATTTGAGTTAAACGCTTATGTCATTTATTCTGAATTTTCTCCATTTTTAAAGAAATTCACTTAAGAGTGTAAATTTTTGCTACATTTCACAAATATTTATAAAAATGTATCTTTTCCATTCAGTTATTGATATTTTGTAATTTTCAGTGACTCTTTAAATTTAATTTTAACTCATAATATGGAGAATGTTACATAAATTTTCAATTGTATGTTTTGTTTCTTACACGCCCCTTCTTTCTTCTGAGCTTTATGTCTTCTTTGTTGAAATTCATCTATTAATTCTTTCAACAGTGTTAAAGCCTCTCATTTTTTGTATGCAAATATTTTTATTTTCTAGTCAATCCTGAATTACAGATATTCAAGTAGAATTATACAATGTCTGCCTGATGAATTATTTTTTTGTCATGAATGACTCCCTTTATCTGTATAAAAGCATATTAATTATATATTAAGATTGCGATATGCCAGGACCTGGCAGATCCTCTACCATTTCTTGAATTTTAAACTTTCTTAGTCATTATATTTTAGGTATGATTCTTTTAAATAAAATGTGTTACTCTATCAAATCTAACATTCTCTGTATTTAAAGAGGTAAATTTATATTTGGACTTATTTCAATCACTTTGTTTTGTATATCTACTCATCATGTTTTATTTGTTCTTTTTACTCCATTTTTGACTTCTTTAAAATTGATAGAAATTTTTATATTTTCTTTTCCCCATTATAATTTCAGTTGTTATATATATTCCAAATTTTGTGTACTTGTACCTAACATTTTTTTACCTCTTTATAAAAATAGATTACTCTTAATTGTACAACTCTAGGGATTTTCACAAAGTGTCCATTTAACCAGCCTCCAGTTTAAGAAACCAAAGATTACAAACATTCCAGAAAATACTTCGTGCTCACTGCCAGTCACTATCACCGGCTGCTTACTTTCTGTGTGGCACGTGGAGCTATTTCCTTAGATCCATCTCCTAGTTTACAAATTATCTGTTTAGCTCCAACTAACCCCTTTAGTCTTTCCATTGAGTTTCCATTCAGTTATTATACGCATACTACTTACAAGTTCTATTTTATTTTTCCAGATTTGTTCTTTTCTTCCTTTATTAGCTCCTCAAAAGTTTTAAGTGTATATATTTAATGGTTTCCTTATTATTCTATGATTTTAGCTTTTAAGGTCAATTTCTATTTCTTGCATCTACTAGTACCCTCATGGAGGCTCACTTGTCATGTTTTATAATTGCATTCTATGAATTAATTTTCATCGAACATATATGATTATATTCTTTCAGTTTCCTTGTTTCTGACAAGGTTATATAGATATCAATATTCTAGGAAAACTTGTAGGTGAAGATTATAAATTTGAAAACTAGGTTTAGATGTGTTTGCTCCAAGGCTTTGATTTTTCCCAACTGCCTTTATATCTTTATACTCAAGACTCTAGGCAAAACAGAAATTTTGTGGCCACCTCTTTGTTTGTGTGTAGAGTTTTCCCAGTTCACTTTTAATGGATGGAACGTATCTATGAAAGGATTTTTCAAGCAGTATTTTACACAGAATTAGAAAGTGGAGTTTAACCACCTCAACAGCCTGGGGCCATCTTTCTTGTCTTCCTGTGTAGATTAAAAGGCTAGGCTTCAGCCTTGAAAGCCTAAATATAGGGCTAAAATCACTACAGATTATAGGGTCATCAGCTCACAGCATATTAATTTTTATTATTCTTTCTACTCCTTAAGTTTTTCATTTCTTTGTGTTTGACTAGATTATTATATTTAGAGTGTTATTTTACCTATGATCTCATGTTTGTAGCAGAAAGGAAACTATGGGAGTCAGCTCAGGTCATCATGTTTTTAATAAAAGAAAGGAGTGTAAACACTCAACTAACTTTTCCTATTAAAGACAATAAGCAGCTGGGCTCATCGGCATCTCCTTTACTCTGCTTCATCCTCAAGACCCCTCTTCTCTTTTCCACATTTCTTAGTAGGCTCTGTTGTTTCTCCCCAAACAACCAGGACCTAATCCCATCACTCATATGCGGCACTTCTTCCATATCATTCAATTTTCTCCAAACACCAAAATCCTTTCCTGAGCTTTAATTGGGTCAAATGTAATTCCTAGAAATAATTTCTCTAATTGTAGGTTTAGGAAAATCAATTTACAACTCTGTTTTTAAAAATTATTTTTTAAATGTTGATTTTCAATAGCCTGTTGTAGAAGAGAAAAAAAAAACAAAACAAAACCTAACATGTTCTAAAAGATTTATAACTCCAAGATAAGAAAGGACTTGGACAATCAAACACACACAACTGTAAGGAGACATAAAACTATCATGAAAACCATGGCTTTGCCACAATTCTTGATTAGCTGGAACAGCACTTTGTTATTTATCTTAGACCATATTTAAAGCCATTAGTCAACAGACTAAAATCATTCCAATACCTATCTCAGATTTTCATTTTTATTTCCTTTTGCTTGTATATTCTCTAGAGTCAAATAGTTTTCCTATCTGATTTCTTCAAGCTATTTGTTTTTATGTTTCAAAACAGACTACACTGATTAAAAGTTTGGCTTTTTGTTGCACAACATTGTGAATGTACTAAATGCCAACGAATTGTTCTCTTTACAGGTTAATTTTATGTTATGTGAATTTTACCACAATAAAAAAAAGAGTGGGATTTTTCTCACTGCCAACATTGATAGAGCAGAACCAATTACTTCCTACTTGTATACTGAATTCACTCCTTAGTCAGTCCTTGCCTAAGTTCATACATGGAAATATGACATCTGAGAGATTTTGTCTGGCATCCCCTAATTTTTGCCCCCAGTTTCCCATTAATATGTACATTCTGTTGAGTCGGAAGAGATTGCCTTCTTTATGTTTGCTCTTTCTACCAGCTTAACTCCTACTCACTTTTCAGTCTGCTACAACCTGGTTTTCATCTGTGCAATTCCAGGAATAGCTCTAATGACAGTTTCCCTGCTTGACAAATAACCTTAAGCTTTCTCAGTATTAAAAGTGGAGATAAAGAACTTCCTCTTGAAAATCTCTTATAAATGTGTATATAGACATGTATATGCATATATACATTATATATATATGTAATTTGTTAATGTCTTTGTCTGATTCTCATCCCAATTTTCACATTCCTTAGTATAGTTTGCTGATTCTAACGTTCCTATCTCACTTTTCTTATTTGTATTTATTTATTTATTTATTTATTTATTTATTTATTTATTTTAGGGGGAGAGAGAGAGAGAGAGAGAACACACAAGCGTGGGGGGTGGGGCATAGGGGAAGGAGAGGGAAGAGGAAAGAATCTCAAGCAGACTCCAGGTGCATGGAGCCCTGTGTAGGGCTGATCTCATGACCCTGAGATCATGACCTGAGCTGAAACCAAGAGTCGGACGTCCAACTGACTGAGCCACCTAGGCGCCCCCTATCTATGTTTTTGATGTGAAAATTTCACATTACTTAGTTAACAGACCTCTTACAGTTTTATATACATCCTTTTTACAGTTTCAGCTCACACAAAACTTTTAGGAACATCTGCAGTTCTACTAAATCTCAAACTAATGCAATAAATTATGTGCAATCTCTACCGCTACCAACAAACTGCTAAATGCCTCTAGATTAAATCATTTTAGTTTGCAGCCCACCAATTACATCTTTTCCAGTCTCATCTGTGCTCTCAGTTATTCTTTTCAATGTCTTCGACCAACTGTCTCTCTTATTCTCCAGAGCAAACATTCTAAACCTCTGAATACCCTCTTTAAGAAAATTCACTTAATACAAATTCCATGAAAAAAAGACCATATTAGCTATTCCACAGATATATTGACTGAATGAATTAATGAATGAAATCTGTATTTTACTTACATATTTGGCATTTATATTTTTATTCAGTATATCAAAATGTTATCTTCCTTACATTTCTAAGATAATGTTAGGACGAAACACACATATTTGTTCAATGACTTGTGCACGCAGTAGGTAAATTTTGTGTTACAAAACAGTCTGTTCATTTTTCCTTGCTTCCGTCAGTAATCCTTAACCAAGAGGGAGCCTAATTACTTTCAGTAATAGTCTTGATTGTATAAAAGCTCTCTCTAGACCAATGTCAATGTTTTTTACTCTAACATGACTTTGTAAAAGGGAAATCACTGCTATCAAACTGAGAGTTAAGGAAGGAAGAAATGCTGTAATCAGTTATGGGCATTAAATTAAATAGTGAGTAAAGATACTGTTCATTTGAAAAGAAATAATTTGCACCTGCATATTTTCATTTGGCTGTATGATAATATCTTTTAAAAATTATGCAATGATTGCAGGGCACCTGGGTGGCTCAGTTGTTAAGTGTCTGCTTCAGCTCAGGTCATGGTCCCAGGGTTCTGGTATCGAGCCCCGCATCGGTCTCCCTGTTGGGTGGGAAGTCTGCTTCTCCTTCTCCCACTTCCCCTGCTTGTGTTCCTTCTCTTGCTGTGTCTCTCTCTGTCAAATAAATAAATCTTTAAAAAAAATTATGCAATGATTGTAACATTTATTATATTAATAAAATATTCCAATTTTGTAATTATAAAAGAGTATAAGATCTTTGTTAATTCAGCTACAATTAAAACCACATATTTTATACAATGTCATAATTTAGAAGATTTTCTCAACTTCTGACCTACACCATGTGATAATCAAGATAATGAAATTATAGTTCTTTCAGTCTTTTTCACATGATTTTAAATTGATATCAGTTTGTTTTGCTCTATCATTTTTATTGCAAAAGTTTACCTTTATCATCAACTTATTTTAAGTCATTTTTCCACTTCTTAACCATTATTGGAACATAGTACATTCTTTATTGTATTAGAATAATTGTCATTTTGTTCAGTTTCCCCCTTCTGCTAATTTTATGCTGTTTGTAAACTGATTCAAATAATCTGACTTTCAAGCCATTCTATTTCTCTACTACTTTTCTGAATAAATTATTTGGACCTTCATTTTCTTCTTCTCCTAGGCCACTGAAATTAATTAAAAGAAAAGCAGACAGGCTTTTAAGTGTTCTTTCTATAATTCAATCTCTCCTGGCCAGAGGATATCTGGAGGCTGACCGTTTGGTTCTGAGTTTCTGAAAAACATTGAGTTTTACAGAAGGTGCCCAGTCACCAGAGCAATAAGAGCGAAGATTTCCCTCAGGAAGCATCGCTCTAATTCTTTCTGGAAGCTGGTTTATTCTCATACAATCAACTACCTTGACCAAGTCTTTGTAGAAACTCACTTTACTATTGACACATTGAACAGTGAATTCAGGATCACAATCGTTTAGAAGCATATAAATGAAAATATTATTTCACAATTTGGGACAAGAAAAAGAAATATATGAAAAAAAGAAAAAAATATTAAAAATCAATATCCATGCCTCTATTTTAGGGAGTCTTTATTTCCTCTTACTTCACAGATATTCAGAAAAAAAAATTATTGTCACTGAGCTATTTCACTCTGGATCTTCTACTCATTTAAAATTCCACAAAATGCTGCATTTTTTTTTCTTGATCATTTTGCATGTAAATTGAGCAGAATGCTTCTGTATTGTACAAACATACTTTTATACTTGTATTATAAAAACATATGTCTACCTCATACCCCCAGTGTTTCAATAGCATTTACCTTCTAGGTTGACTTTGGTAAGATTCCATCTTGGCACATTCATGCCAACTGAGTCATTCTTATCAACCAGGGAGGTTTGTTTCGACATATAAATGGTCTTGAAAGCATTCGTGTAAATTTACATTAATGTAAATTAAGAGATTAAGCATAGGTTCAAATTCATTTAGTGCTTGCCCAAATTATTTGACTTCCCTAAATCTAAGATCCCACTAACTTCATGGGATGCCGTCTGTTGTGTTGTTTGCAGCCTAGGAAGTAATATATGGCAGCCAAAGAAAGTTTTCTTTTATCTCTTGAATGTGAATGGTAATACCTCATTATTGTGTCTTTTTTTTTGTGGAGGAAGAAGAAGGTTAAATTATGTAATCTATGTAAGGTATTTAGAAGAGTGTCTTGAACACAACACTCTCTCGATGATTAAGGAATATTCGTGTTATTAGCCTTTATTCTTCATCTACCTTTGCTACACAACTACTTTGAAAATATTTTAAACTATAGTATCTGGTATTTCACAAACTCCAATTAATCCCTTATCTGTTGCCATTCATTTTATCTACCCTGTGTGAGAAATAGCATCACAATTTGTCATGTAACCCATCCTAATGTCAAAATAAAATGAATTGGAAATCTGAGACATACCTCTTACACAAGAGTTTGTGAAAAATATTTTACTGTCATGAGGAATAACTAACCACATTGCAATATCTGTGATCTGTCAATCTATGATTATTTATATTTTAAGTTCATCTGACAATATCATTTTCCAATAACACTTTATAGCTTCAATACCCTTTAGAACAGAGTATATAAAGACTCAACAGAAATTTGCTAAGCATTACTTCATTACTCTAAAAGAATTCATCATAATTAACACATAATTGCAATAATTAACTTACCCTTACTCTGCCTCGGTATCCTCTTGAGTGTTTTACGTTGGCGATAAAATGATATACCCCATAGAAAAAGCTTTTCACTGAAGATAAATTTAATTTGAGATCAAGAGAAGAAAGACAAAAGAAAAGGCACAATGTAACGATTAGTGTGGAGTTGCCCAATATCCTTTGTGCATTTTAGTTGTCTTTCAAAAGTGTAAGATTGAAAGGAGGTTTTGGGATCTTCTCTGATTTGTAGTATTTGTTCTGAATTGTCTGGAATTCTATTTGTTTTCTCACCCAGTGCTGACATGGGGTTGATGGCTGTAAATTTCTTGTCATTGTCCCCACAGGATCCTTTTCCTTATCAGTTCCTGGCAGATTGTGACCATTTAAGGAGAGACTTCTTTACTGGTTTATCAACCTTATTTTCATAGCTTCTTATTTCCCAATGTCAAAAGGTATTAGGTACATTAAAAAAATGCACTCATCCACGCCAGGCAATTGTAAGTTGGATTGTATTTTAAGTGATAGAGCAAACAAAAATGACCTTGGTAAGTCTCACAGCTTGTCAGAAATATGGCCATTTCTTCAATTCAAGTTTTATTTAAGAACACAAGAGCTAAGCTTAAGGGAAGTGGACTGTTTTTGGAAGAAAAAACTAGAAAATGATAGCTTACAAGTTTGAAGACCATCAACTCACACTATTATAAAAACCCAACAAGGGCTGCAGGGGGACTGGAGTGAAAAACTGCACATAGTAAACTGCAAAACAAAACCATAGGAGAATAGCAAAAGTCAAAGGAAAGAATTCCAATCCCAAATCTTGAAATGTTCCCTTTGACTCATTGATAGTCACAAACAATTCCAATGATTTATGACCAAACAAGGCAAGTATTCAGGATGCACATGTTGGGGATTTACTCTATGATGCAGCTTATAAAAACAGTGAACGGATTTGCCATCATAAAAAAGTATATACTGTCCAGAAATTTCTTGAGAAAATATTGCCAGATTGGGTAATAACTTTGTGAATAAGCCTGGAAAGTAGAGGGCTTTATGGCACTTAATAATCAAGACAGAATCTGGGAATTGAACAAAATGCATTTTGTCTTCAGTCATTTGCATAACAGCAGTTTTATTTTAAAAGGTTTCATGCTGAAACTAGGAATGCTCTAAAAAGAGAAACAGTGAGAATTCCCATTTTGAAACAAGCTGAGTAGGAGTGAAAATATTGCCAAGTGGTCTGGCTGCATCTCAGAATTGTTGTAAAAATAAGTTATGGTGAACTCAGGCCTGAGTCAAAGGCTACGGACACAGAGGTCAGGATAATGGCTGAGTCCTGAGGATCACATTCCATTCCCATTGCTATGAAAATAGAAAGTAAATATGAAGAATGAAATTTTGGTGGGTCCTGAGAATTGCAGGCAGTTCACTTACAGAATAGAAGGTTTGCTTTTTCCTCATGAAGAAAGGATACATAAAATAGTGTGCCTTTACCTTCAAATTCGTAAAGCATCAAACATGCGCATACTACTACTAATAACATCATGATAATATCATTGCCCTAGGCAATTGTCTTTTATGGAAATGAGTACAAACAATTAAAGTGAATCACTTCCTACAAGTATTAAGAACTGTACTTCCTTGTAATATGTACTTTACAGTGCAGGAGCTCCTTTAATCTTGAATAGCTAAATTTTGAAAATAAGTTTTAATTTGGAGACCAAACATAATATGACTTCCAAATAATAAACTTTATCACATAATATAGTTTTTTAAATTCTCAAACCTTAAATTCTTAAAACATTTTTTTATATCTAGTTCATAACCAGTTGACTATATCAAAATAGTAATTTTCATTTAATGTTGACCTCATGTTAAAACCCACATTCTGCTATCGGCCACTGCATTTTCTACTTAATGCTAATTTTCTCTATCAGTCTTTGAGGTTAACTTTTATTGTTTTATGAAAGCAATTTAGCTGTGAATCTAAACAGGAAAAAATATGTCTAGAACTCAATACTTGTATGTAAGCCATTAATAACTAATTTCCTACTTAGAATAAAATCATTATAAATAATGTATCCATTCTTACCCACTGGAGAATAATTTTCTATACAAAGAATCTTGAAAATAATATTATTTTAAGACCATAAAGAAATGTTACTGAAATGTTATCTAGTATAATTCTCATTCCATAGATAAGGAAATTCAACCTCAAATTACAGTAATTTTCCCATAACACATAGTGGCAAAATTCAGAGTCAAATGGATTCCCAGCAGATTTTAAACTCTTTGAGGGGAGGTACTTTATTTTTTTAGCCTTTAAAGTATGCAGTCATTAAGCAATATTTAATGAATGAAATATATTTTAGAGCATTTTTTAACTTGAAAATTGGGGATGATATGTGTATCTATACAAAGTCAAGACTTAACTATTTCATCTCACTGAAACTTAAACTTCTTTTTTTCTAAGATTTTGTGTACTTATTTGAGAGAGAACGCGTGCTTGCACACATGCAAGAGAGAGAGAGAGCATGCACACAGAAGAGCACAAGCATGGGTACAGGGAGAGAGAGAAGCAGACTCCCCACGGAGCAGGGAGCCCGATGTAGGCCTCCATCCCTGGATCCTGGGATCATGTCCTGAGACGAAGGCAGATGCTTAACCAACTGAGCCATGCAGGTGTCCCTGAAATTTCAACTTCTTAAGTGTTTGGGTATAATATCTTTATTGTAGGTGTCTCAGAACAAAATATAGTACCTAGTACATAGTAAATGTTAAATTAAAAAATAGTTGAATGAATGAATATAAAATGTGTAATACTTATATATTGGTTGTAGTAATGAATAGTGATTAATTTTAATATTAACAAATAATAATATTAATTTATAGCTGAATTAATGACTATAAACATATATTATATCTAAAATATCTAAAATATCTCACTTTAAAAGAAAGCAAACTACAAAATCAGACAACCAGATGTGATGGTTAGTTCTATGTACCAGTTTAGCAAGGCTATAGTACCAAATTATTTAATCAAACTATTCTAGGTGTTGCTGTGAAGGTATTTTATAGATGTGGCTCACACCAAACATCAGCTGACTTTAAGTAAAGCTTACCATGTATAGTACAGGTGGGCCTCATCCAATCAGCTGAAGACTTTAAAAGCAAAAACTGAGGTTTCTTAGAGAAGGCATTCTGCCTCAAGACTATAACATGGAAACCCTGAGTTTCTAGCATGCCTGCCTGCCCTACAGATTTCAGAATTGCCAGTCCCCATGATCATGTAAGCTTAGTCCTTAAATTATATATATTATACATACATCTTATTCATTCTGTTTCTCTGGAGAACTCTGAGTGTTACACTAGAATTATAAAATAAGCTTGGGAAATATTTAGCACTTCCTGTTAACAGTTTTGCTAGAATCTTACTGTCATTCTTAATATTAGACAATTTAAACTATTTAGGGATACGTGATCAAAAAACAGAAAACAAATATATTGCTGATTAGTTGGCTAAAAATGTATTATCTCATTTATTCATTTCCCTCTCTCCTGAACAAAGCATTCAGAATCTTAGCCAGGGTTTCTATTAGGTCATGGTTTTCGCAAAGATATTAAGATCCTTTATAAGCAAATATGGCTTAAATATTCCTACTTTGTGACCTGCTTTATATATTCAATCCCTTGAATATAATCACCTATTTCTCTCTTGTATGGTCAAAACAAGTCACAGAAAGGAAAACAATGTTTAATAATATATTCTGCCCAAATACTGAAACAAATTAACTGATCTATGTTTCTAAAAAAGAAAAAAATATGCAAAAACCAGGTACCTGAACTAGTTGGTTTACCCTTGCTGAATATGTGTTTTGAAAAAGTTTAATTGAAACCATCTGTTGATGACTCATTCACTGCTGAATCATCTAAAGTATTTTCTCTCCAATTTATACCAATGTTCAACAAAATGCCTTTCAAAATTTCTGAATTACCTTTTTCTACTGAAACAAAAAAGTTGGCCAAAAAAGTAAGCAAGGAAATTAATGAATCAAAGTTTTTCTGCAATTGATATGATTATGTGATTTTTCTTCATTAGTTTGTTTCTTCTACATGTAATTTTATTATTTTTTTATTTTTTCAGCTTTAATTGAAATATAATAATTGACATATAAGCTCATGTAAGTTTAAGGTGTATAACGTGTTATTTTGATACATTTATAAATTGCAAAATGATTACCACTGTAGTATTAGCTACAACCTCCAGCCCATCACGTGGTTATTTCTTTTTTGTGGTGAGAATCTTTAAGATCTATTCTCTTAGCAATATTCAAGCATATCATACAGTATTATTAGCTACAAGCACCATGCTATATATTAGATTCCCAACCTTATTAATCTTATAACTGGAAGTTTGTACTCTTTGACCAATATCTCCCCATTTCTTCCACCCTCCAACCCCAGAAACCACAACTCTGCTCTTTCTCTGAGTTTGTCTTTTTTAGATGCCATATATAAGTGATATCATACAGTATTTATCTTCTCTGACTTATTTCACTTAGCATAATACTCTCAAGGTCTATCCAAGTCATCGCATTGGAGGGATTTTCTGCTTTCTCATAGCTCAGTGATATTATATATATATATATATATATATATATATATATATATATATATATATATATATATATATGTCACACCTTTATCCATTCATCAGTTGACAGACACTTAGGTGGTTTCCATATCTTGACTATTGTGAGTAATGCTGCAATGAATATGGGAGTGTAGATACTCTATAAGATCCTGATTTTGATTCTTTTGGATATATACCCAGAAGTGGACTGCTGGATTACATGAAAGTTCTATTTTTAATTTTTTAAGAAAAGATGCTCTTTTGTACCTGTCATTTGTTTGTCTTCTTTGGAAAGCTGTTCCTTCCGTTTCTCTGTCCATTTTTTAATCAGGGTTTACGTTATTTGCTATTGAGTTGTATGTGTTCTTTATATATTCACAGTGTGAACCCTGGTGCCGGCAGCTCTCTGTGGCCATGGAGCTACCAGAGCTGGAAGGACTACAGGAAGGATATCAAGGCTTCAGCCAGAAGGAAATAGAAACCTCAGAGGACAATGATCAGGAGGTTGCCACAGAAGTAATGGACTCTAAAAGTAAGGCCAGAAGCACAGTTTTAGTAAAGCATTTGGTCAGTAATTTAGAGTAGAGGACGTTTCTTTTTTTGTAGATAGAACTAATAGTCAGAAAACCGCACAGATATAGAAGAATAAACAACTCCATTAACCAACTGGATTTCATTGATAGCTACAGAACACTACACTCAACAATAGCAGGATATACACTTTTCAAGCACACATGGAACACTCACCAAGATAGACCATTTTTAGGGTTATAAAACACACCTCAACAAACTGAAAAGAAATGAAATAATACCATGTATGCCCTCTAACTATAAGAGAATTAATCTAGACTAATAACAAAAAGATAACAGAAAAATCTTCAAACACCTGTAAATTAAACAGAACATTTCTAAATAATTCGTGGGTCAAAAAGGAAGTCTCAAGAAAAATGAACTAAATGAAAATAATATACCACAATTTGAGGCAGTACTTAGAGAGGAAGCACTGGAGCAATGCTAAAGCAACAAAACAGCTAAAAGAATGCCAGGAGAGAAATTTACAAATGCTTATATTAGAAAAGAAGAAAGGTTTCAAATCAATAATCTAAACTTTTACCTTAAGGCAACAAAGAAGAAGGAAGAGGAGGGGGAGGAGACCAAAACAAACCTAAACCCAGCAGAAGGAAAGAAATAATAAAGAGTAGAATTCAATGAATTTGAAAACAGACAACTAGGATATGCCTATGTTAAGATGCTGAATCCGTGAAAGACTCAGGAATTACGAGAGAAGGAAAGAAAAAAAATAAAAGAGAGAGGACTTTCTTTGTATTTGAGGGAGAATTTTAAAGAATAATATGCTGGTCAGTAATGTTGATACTGCAAAGATCAAGTAGGAAAATTAGAAGCAGTAGTTTAAATGTGACAATTAGGGAATCATTCCTGACTTTTGATATAATGATAAAATCAAGGTGGTGTAGAAGTGAGATTTCAATTATCTGAATGGTAAGTTAGAAATAGAAATATGGAAATAATTTTCTAGGCACTCTTGAGGAAAGAGTGGGAGCTTGATCAGGTGACAGAATTGGAGAAAAGTGTTTTAGTACATTTCACAACTGACCATGATTGAAGGTCTTGACAAAAAGCCAAAGGGAGCCAGTAAATAGAAGATGAGTAATTAGCAGATGAAAGAATAGAAGAGGGAATGATCAATGGGACAAGATCAAGGGAATGCAGGTGTGATGGATTATCAGCAGAATAGGCTGGAGGAGTCATGGCTGGGGAGCACAGGAAGATGTTAATTTGGAAAAGGGGAATAACATTTCATCCTTTGAAAAGAAGAATAATAAGCAATCATGGAAAATGTGCAAAGAAATTTTGACAGGGATGGGGAGTGACACGAAAGAAGTTCATAACGGATGGCTTTATTTGTAAATTAGGAAGCAAGTTGAACTCGCTCTAATGGTGAGAGGGTCAGCATGGCCTTAGGACCTTCAGAGAAGTGAAAATCTTGCAATACCCACAACGAGAACTGGATAGGGACTTATTTCTGTCTGAATAAAAAGAACACTGTTCAGAACAAAAGGCCCAACTGAGGTTAGATGCTATGAATTTTAATGAAACACAGAAGCATGACTAAAGAATTTCTCCCAAACCTAGTGGCAAAAACATCTCCACCATTTTCATGATACAAAAGGGAAAGGGTTGGAGCCTGACAACGTGGTGGACTTTGGATATCAATTAATGGGCACCTGAAATTTAAAACATTTCTAGGACACAAACTGAATTCTGAAAGTAATAGGAGGTATTTACTATTGCCCGGAATCTAACATAATACCAAAACAGAACATTTTTAATACTGTTTTCACTCACATGATAATCTGCAGTTGTTGTTTGTTTGTTTGTTTTTAAGATTTTATTTATTTGTCAGAGAGAGAGCGCACAAGCAGAGGGAGCTTCAGGCAGAGGGAGAAGCAGGCTACCTGCCCAGCAGGGAGCCCGATGCAGGACTCCATCCCAGGACCCTAGGATCATGATCTGAGCCGAAGGCAGCCGCTTAACTGACTGAGACACCAGGCATCCCAATAATCTGCAGTTTCAACTTATTTCTTTTTTCCTGGAATTTTTATTCCCTTTTCTCTCCTGTATCTTTTATCTGTCTCCTTACTCCACCACTCCACTTTCTTACAACATTCATTCTCTCTCTCATCATTCCTCCACTAACTTCCCTGGAAACCTGTATTTTAGCAATTATTTAAATAAATCCATATTTTCTCCATATCTTAAAAAGTTTAATTTTCTAAAGAAAAAAATACTTATAAAGTGAAGATTTTAAAATTAAACAATAAAAAAATAAATAATATTCTTGAATATTACAGCAAGCTAACTATGTAATATTAATTTTTAACCCATACTCAGGTTTTCCATATAATCTAATCAAAACCAAAAGCACCTGCACAGGACAAATTATTAAAATAATCAATAGGAATGAGTCTCCTTCTTTTCATATATGATTGTTACCTATCATTTTGTTATTTTTATCCACATCCATTAAACCTATTGAACTTTTCAAAGAAAAAAAGAAAGCACTTTACTTGAAGTTTTAATTTCTAATTGCAAATATTGTTAACAATACTGTTAACAAAAAAGGCAAAAAAATTCAGCCTTGCATGTAAGCAGAGAGAATTTCTTGTACCACAAAATTTTACTAAATTTTTGGGACTTTATTATTGTTTAAAGCATGATGCATCTGATGGCAATGAGAATCCATACCAGAACAATGTTAATACTTTGATTCACATTTTCGATTTAATTAAAATTCTTCCCTGTCTTTAGATTGTTTTCCTTTATATCTGAGGTTAAATCCCTTCGTATCATCTGCCTGTGGGCCCCAACTGATTTATAGGGCTGCACTGGTAGACAGTTCAAAAACATGCTTAGAATAGTTTATTCCATTTTCACTGTTTTGATTTAAATACATGCTTCAAACATCAAGGGCAGTCATTTCCCGAGGCCTATAGGGAAACTGTACAGGCTTCTTTCTAGTTTCCTTAGTAATTGTGGCAGTACTAGACCCACTAACAGCCTAGTTTGAGGACTACATTTAAAAGCATGTCTAAGCTGTTATAAAACAATTATAACTGGAAATGACATCAAACAAAGCTGGAAAGCATAGCCTGTGAGACATATTCTTCATAGAAATGAGAGATCAGGCTTATAAAAGCTTGCTAAAACTCTTGGACTTGCACTTAAGTTTAACCGAAATGAAGGTACAAATATATCATATTTTAATGTAGAAGTTGTATAGCCAGTTCTTTTTTTAAATTCTTTTTAAAAGGTTTTATTTAAATTCTACTTAGTTAACATACCATGTATTATCAGTTTCAGGTGTACAATATAGTGATTCAGCACTTCCATACATCACTTGGTGCTCATCACAAGTGCCCTCCTTAATCCCCATCACCTGTTTCACACACACCCCCCACCCACTTCCCCTCTAGTCACCATCAGTTTGTTCTCTATAGTTAAGAGTCTGTTTCTTGGTTTGCCTCTCTCTCTTTTATTCCCTGCCATCCTTTGTTTTGTTTCTTGAATTCCACATATGAGTGAAATCATATGGTATTCGTAAAAAATGAATAATCCAATATATAGCCAATTCTGTTGGTAGTAAAGAAGATTAGGAAAACATCACTCCAAACTACAAGGCAAAGAATTTGAAGGGCATACAGAGAACAGTATTAAGTAGCATTCTCTTCATAAATCTGTGTGAAAAAGACATTTATTACTCAAAGTTAAATCATCTTTAGAATCAGGTATTTTTCCATCTTCAAAATATAAATATATGTCCAAAGACTGATACATTTTTTAATGTGGAATATCTTAGGTGTTGATTTTGCCTGCCATAGAATATAATACTCCTATATTAAAATATATTTCTCTGTAGCCAATAGTGTTGGAATTAATTATGGACTCTTCAATACACCCATGTACATATCCGTGCACATGGAACAAATGAGTAGTTTTAGAGAAATACTTTACAATTATATGGTAAATTCCCCAACATCAACTCTTATATTTATTTATTAAACCCATATAGGATTTCCCATGTACCAAGCACTCTTCTAAGTACCTTATAGGTATAAACATACTTAATGTTCATAACTATCCTAAAGTTATGCACTATTAGTGCCACAATTTTACATATGAGGAAACTGAGGCACAGAGGGATTGAGCAAATTGCCCAAGGTAGTAAGTGTCAGAGAAAGATTGTAGCAAGATTCTAAGATGGGATTCAAACTCAAGGGGCTTTGTCCACTACTGCTAAAAGAAAGCAAATTTAGGGTCACACTTCTCTACATTTTACCCAGTTATCTATTTTAGATAATTAGACATTCTCATCACAGTGCTTAATACTATCTACTTTTCTCCCTTCCTTTTTCCCCTCACCACTTTCTTTCCTTCTACCTTTATTTTTTCTCAGTGCTGAATAGGTATCAGGCATCTTGCCAGGGCTCTGAGGATGAAAAATCAAGCATTCAAAATGCTAAAGACTAATACAATGTACAGATAGGCGTATAGACCAGTGTGGGCTACAAATGAGTGCTCACATCATATGAAGATGTACATGGGATGGGAAACCTTACCCACCCTGGATGCAGGACCTTCCTAAATCTCCTGAAAGTGACCACTGAAATCGGCTTATGTAAAAGTGGTGATAAGTAAACACCACAGAGGTGGATAGCAAAGGGCAAATGACACAAAGATGAGAGAACATGAGCAGCTCTGGGAACTGCAAATAGGATGCTATAAAACCAGCAAATTAAACAGGAATCAGAGCATTAAAAGACCAGTTGAGAAGGTAAGATTTTATTCTCCAGATTACCACATGACAAGGAAAAATTTAAATTAGTAAAGTATCTAAACTCTATGAAGTAATGAGATCATCCTGTAAAATACACCAGTTACTGAGGAAATACTTAGTCATTTACATATGAAATTCTAAATGCCAGACAGCTTTACCAGAGCAGGAGAACAAGGAGGAGACATATGTGACAAACACCAAAAAGATTGGTGAGAAGTACAGGTTAGGATGATTATATGTTGAGGTAACTATGGGACATTCAGGTAGCGATGTAGAGAGGTAGTCCCTATATAGAAACAGCATTTAAAGAAAGGCCTAGAAGGAAGGTAGGTATCTTGGCGTCTACAGCTTCTGGAGGATAGTTGAAATCATTATAAATGGTGAGATATCTCAGAAAGATTGCATACAATAAAAAGAAAAAAGAGGAGCGCCTGGGTGACTCAGTCAGTTAAGCGTCTACATTCAGCTCAGGTCATGATCCCGGGGTCCTGGGATCAAGCCCTATATTGGCTCCCTGTTCATTGGGGAGCTGCTTCTCCCTCTCCTGCTCCTCCTGCTTGTGTGCTCTCTCTCTCTGTCAAACAAATAAATAAAGGGGAGCCTGGGTGGCTCAGTCATTAAGCGTCTGCCTTCAGCTCAGGTCATGATCCCAGGGTCCTGGGATCAAGCCCCACATCAAGCCCCACATTGGGCTCCCTGCTCGGCGGGAAGCCTGTTTCTCTCTCTCCCACTACCTCTGCTTGTGTTCCCTCTCTAGCGTGCTCTCTCTCTCTGTGTCAAATAAATAAATCAATAAATAAATAATCTTTAAAAATAATAAATAAATAAATAAATAAATAAATAAATATCTTTAAAAAAAAGAAAAAGAAAAAAGAAGGGCCACACATCAAATAATAGAGCTCACTAATATTTAGAATGGACTTCAGATGAGAAAGTTGGGAAGAAGTTTGAGAAAGATTGGGTAGGTCAGTGGAAAATAAGAACAGATAGGACCAGGGAAACTAAGAGGAGAGAGATTTTTAAAAGCCTGGAGAGTTAAATGTTTCAAATGATACAGCAATAGTAGATAAGAACAGAGGATATTAAAAGAACTTAGCAACAAAAATGTAATTAGCAACAAAGGCAAAAATAGTTTTGGCGCCTTGTTCGAGTCAAAGATATTGTAGTGATGGCAGTACTGAATGAGCAAAGAGGAGTAGAAAAAGTAAGTCTATACTTTTTCAAAAAGGCTGAGCCACATAGTTCTGTGGCTTCCTCTCTACAGTAGTTTCTCCTCCATTCACATTCAGCCTGTCCCAAAGAATCACAGCCATAATGGACACTTAGACTTAAGTGAAATTTCCTCACTCCCACTACAGTGTAGTACCCCACAACCTCTCTCACACATTTTATCCAGCCCACCACTCCTGCTCTCACTGCTTTTCACCTCTATAATGACTTTTCTCTATAAATCTCAATCTCCCTATATAACTCAATATGATCAACCTATTACATGATACTCCCTTAAACACCATTGGATTCTTTCCTCTGTACATTAGTCAGGCTCTTGGGGCTGCAAGTGACCCAAATCCAACTCCAACTAGATTCAGCATAAAAGGTCGTTTATTGGCTTATATAACAGGAAAGCCTATGGGTACACTAGCTTTAGGCACAGCTGGATCCAGGTGATCAAACCATACTAACAGGAACACATCTCTCCATTTCTTGGCTCCACTTTTCTTCTGTGTTGCAGTAATTCTCAGACAGATGTTCTTAATATGTTGGTGAGGAGGATGACTCCCAGAAGCTCCAAACCTACATATTTTTTGTGGCTTGTGTGATATTGTGATTTATAATAAGAAATATACATTTGGTCTTTGTCCACTATTCCGGGCACAGAGCTCCTAAAAACCTTGGAATTTTGTAAGTGAGGAGAGCAAGAGCAATAAAGATGTCTTTTATTATGTTAATGAGGTGATTTTTGGAAAGCACCTAAGCATGGGGGCTGTATGTTAGGAGAACTAACTATGGGATTTGAGTGTTGGAAATTTCAGTCCTACCCTGTCACCTCTGGGGAGGGAAGAGGGGCTGGAGATTGAGTTCAATCATCCAGAGTCAATAATTTAATCAATCATGTTTATGCAATGAAGCCTCCATAAAACCACAAAAGGATGGGGTTTGGATAATTTCCTGGTTGGTGACCATGTGGAGACTTGGGGAGAATTGTAGGCTCTGAGAGATCATGGAAGTTCTATACTTTTTCCTCATACCTTCCCTTATGCATCTCTTCCATCTGGCTATTTCTGAGTTACATCTTTTTTTATAATAAACTGGTAATCTAGTAAGTTAAATGTTTCTTGGAATTTGGTGAGGCACTGTTAATTAGTTGAACCCAAGGAGGAGGTTGTTGGAATCTCTGATTTGTAGCCAGTGGATCAGAAAAACAGGTCATAATCCAGACTCATGATTGGTGTCTGGAGGGGGTACCAGGCAGTCTTTGTAGGCCTGAACTCTTGACCTGTGGGATCTGAGGCTATCACTAGGTAGATAGCATCAGAATTGAGTTAAATTGTAGGATATCCAGCTGGTGTTGCAGAGAATTGCTTGGTGGGGTGGGGAAACACTCCCTCCCTCCCCAACTCCCCACAAATATTGGAACTGTGATCAGAATTGTAGCTTGCAATTTAGGGAATAGTGAGGGGTTCTTTATCAAGATTCTGACTGGCCCACTACCCTATCCTTGAAGTTGGGGAAAAGTATCAGTCCCGGTGAAGCACATAGGATGAGAATGAGGAAAAGTGGCTTCTGAAGTTAAAAGAAGGTCTGAAAAAAAAAAAAAAAAAAGTGGGGCAGAGAGATGCTGCTTGGCAAATAAAGCTAATTACAGCTAATATCCACACCAAAACACTAACCATACTTCCCTACTTGCCTTTCTAATCCCTAAATCTGATTTCTTCATTTCTCCAATATAGTATATTGGAAAACTCACAGGTTTGAATCAGAAATAGCCTGCAGCGAGAATGACCTTGACAACCTATATTCTGTCAGACTGGTCATAAAACATGTTGGCCTCCTATAAATCTCTGTGCAAATCTCCTTTGGCCTAGTGCTTAAGGCAATCATTCCTGGTCCCCCAAAGCTGTGATCATGCCAGGCAGAGGCCGGCCTTCCCCAAAATGGGCATTGACGTGAGGCATTCTGCCACTGCCTTGCTGTGTCATAAAGCTGCAGCTACAAGACTTGGAACAAGCTCCCTAATGACACCAGGGGGGGAGCTGATTCATTCTCTCACATACAATCCATAACCACAAGCACCACATGGGCAGGAGAGAGCTGGAACAAAGGTTTGTCAAGACCTGTCATTCTTTTCCCTAATCATCAGACTCTCCCACTACTCCACACTGGAAAACTTCTATCCAGAATTTTACAGGAATCATTCCCTTGTTTGTTTGTATGTTTGTTAATAGTTTTGTTTTGGTTTTGTTTTTAAGATTTATTTACTTATTTATTTTAGAGAGAGAGAGAGAGACAGCACTAGCGGGAGGGGCAGAGGGACAGGGAGAGAGAATCTTAAGCAGACTCCATGCCTCAATGTGGGGCTCAATCCCAGGACCCCAAGATCATGACCTGAGCTGAAAACCAAGAGTCAGATGCCCAACCAACTGCATCACCCAGGTGCTCCAGTATCGTTATCCTTTACAGAAATGAACTATAAAACATTTTTTTCTTAGCACCTTCTCTATTGACATATCCATTTGGTTGCAAGTAGTTGTAATTAATTTTCTTTCACTTCATTTCTTTATAGTGATCCATGGGTGATGCCAAAGACCAGTGGTAGAATTACATGCTCGTGAGTATCTGCTGGTATGTGTGTTCCTGTTGGGTATAAACCTAGGAATGAAATGGCCAGGCCTATCTTCAACTTTAGTAGATAATAAAAAATACTTTTCCAAACTGGTTGTAACAGTTCTCACTCCTACCAGCTGGGTATTAGTATTCCTGTTGACCCCCATCTTACCATTGACGTTGTTAATCTCTTTAAAATTTAGCATTCTGGTTGTCTAGTGGTATTACATTGTGGTTTAAAACTGCATATCCTTGGTTTTCATTCAGGTTGAAAACTTTTTATTTATTGGGCATTTGGAGAGTCTCCTAAGGAGTTGTCTTTTTTTTCTTATTTCTTGTTAGGAGTTTCTTAGATATTCTGGATTGGCCATTTTGTTAGTTATATGTGTTGCAAATATCTTTACCCCACCTGCAACTTCCTCTGCACTGTTAATGGTCATTTTAGTGTTTTACTAACTGACTTTGATAAAGATGAATGGTTTAGAATAAGAGTAGTAGGAGGGAAATATGATACATTTTAAGCATCAATTAACCTAATATGCCATAGGTGCCAGGCATTCTCCAGGAGTTTCTATCTAAATATTTTTGAAATAAACATAGACACACAGATCATCAGAGGTCATTGATTTAACACCAATTGTAAGATCAAGAAATAAGTATTATCAGCAATCCATAAGCCTCTCTCTTGCTGTCTCCTAAATACTAATATTTCTTCCTCTTTAGAGATAATTCCCACTTTGACTGCTAAAACCAGTCTAGTTTTGTGAGTTTTTGAATTTTGTTTACATAGAATCATTCTATGTATTATTTTTGTGTGACTTTTTCTTACTCACTTTTATATTTGTCAGATTTATCCATGTTATTACATATAGCAATAGTTTATTTTTGTTGTCATATGATGTTTCATTGTATGAAATATGTGCCATGTTTTATTTATTTTTTCTATTCTTGCTGTCCATTTAAATTATTTCCAGTTTTGGGCTATAATAAAAAATGTTTCTATGAGCATTCATTATTCATGTACATCACACACACACGCACACACATGTACGTGTGCGCACATGACATCCTGTTGGATATATACTTAGGATTGGAATGTGGGGGCCCAAGGTTATGCATGCTCTCACTTTTTCTGGAAATGCCAAACAGATTCCCAAAATGATTGTATCAATATATACTTCCTTCAACATTGTGTAACAGTTTCATCTGCTCCACATCCTCATCAACACTTGGTATAAGCAGTCTTATTCATTTTAGCTATTTTTATTGGTATGTAGTGGTATCTATTTGTGATTTTAATTTTCATTTACCAGATGAGGTTAAGCATATTGTTATGAACTTTGTGATCAGTTGGACATCCTCTTTTCTTAAAATAAATGTTAAGTTTATTTGTCCATTTTTTGATGGGTTCACCCTTTTTATTGGTTTGTAGGAGTTATCTGTATGCATTTTGGATATGAAATTTTTCATTTGACTTATTGAAATTTTTGCATTTTTATTTAAACATGAACTACAGATATCTTTTTCCACTACCTTAATTTTCTTCATTTTTTACTCTCTTAATAATGCCTTCTGATGAAAAGTCCTTAAATTTCATATGGTTCAATTCATTAATCATTTTCTTTATGTTTAGTGTTTTATATATTTTATTTCAGGAAACTTTCTCAGCCATAACTTCATGATGATATAGTCCTATGTTATCTTCCAGGAACATATTGCTTTGCCTTTTTTATGTTGATCTACAGAATGCCTGGAATTGACTTTTGTATATGGTATGAGGTGGAGGTCAAGTTTCATTTTTTTCCAAATGGATAGTGAACTGATCCACTACTATTTGATAAAAATAGCATCTTTCCTTACTGCTTTTTCATTGCCATTTTTTTGTTATAAATCAATCATCCCATTGATTTCTGGCTTGCACTGTTCATATTGAAAAACCAAGTATTAGTCTAATTATTGCTGCTTGATGAATAATACATTTTTTCATTTGCCTGCTTTTAAAATGTATCTCTTTGTCTTTGACTTTCACCAGTGTTACTATAATGGATATGTATAGTTTTTTTTTATTTGTCCTATTGTGATTCTGTGTCTTTCTTCACTATAGGAAATTCTGAGCCATTATCTTTTCAGATATTGATTCTGCCTCATTCTATCTCTCCTCTGCTTCAAGGTATATACCAATTATCCCACTTCACTGTATCCTCTAAGTCTTTTTGTTCTCTCTTCTATATTATTCATTATTTTTTCTCTCTGTGCTTATTCTGAATATCTTCTTCTGATCTAACTTCCAGTTCACTAATTCTTACTTCAGCTGTTTCTTGTGTGCTGTTAAATGGAAGCGTTGCATTTTAATATATTATTTTATTTTTAACAGTTCTTATTTTATTAATCTTCCTTGTAATTTCTTTTTGTAATTTCCAGTTCTTTGATAAATTCTTTATCTTATTTTAGTTTTTGCCCTTGAAGAATAGAAGCTTGATTATTTAAAAGTCTGATTGAAAACTCTAATATCAGGTCCCTTTAGGTCTGTTTTGAATTTCTATTGTTTTTCTTGCTTCTCCTCCTATTGACTTCCCTGTTCACATGCCTGGTTGTTTTATATACTGTGCCATGATTTCTACATGAAAGTTTGTTAAAGTATTTTAGGCCTATCATAATCCCATCTTCCTCCAGGGAAGTAGTAATCCTGGATCATCTTCCTTCAACACTGTTACACAATGTTGAAGGAAGTATATATTGATACAATCATTTTGGGAATCTGTTTGGCATTTCCAGAAAAAATGAGAGCATGCATAACCTTGGGCTCCCAAATTCCAATCCTAAGTATATATCTTTCTCCAATTTCAGGGTGAGGCCTCTAACTATCTCAAACCAAAATATAAAGAATATGAACACCAGTCTTTTCTCTTCACCCCTTCGTATGCCCCGATCTTTAACCTTGGTCACATTAGACTGGAGATGCTTTCAAATTACCACTTAGGCTTTCAGCCTCTTGTCTGTTTTTTTCTGGTATCAGCTAACACCTCAAGTGAAAAGCAGCCCCAGATAAGTGGCTCTAGCTAATATCTCTTGATTATTTCCTCTCTATGATTTTCATAAGACAATTCTTCATTGGTATATTGATCCCTGATGCTTTGAAGAAACAAAAAAAAGTAAATATTTTTAAGTATTTTGTTTGCCTAATGAGAAAGATTGACCTGAATTTTCAAATCACCACTACTGAAAGTGAAGAATCTCTATTTTGGACCTTTGTAGGATCATTAAAATTTTTCTTTCTCTTGATTGGTATGTTATATTCTTCCTAGCAGAATATTAAATATCTTAAAAACTAAAAATTTCTCCCAAGTAAACTAACCCATTTAAATAATCAATGCTAAACTTAATACAATAGTATGTACTCATAATCCTCACTTTCTTATGACCCATTCACTTTTTCTTAATTTTTTTTATTGTTATGTTAATCACCATACATTACATCATTAGTTTTTGATGGAGTGTTCCATGATTCATTGTTTGTGCATAACACCCAGTGCTCCATGCAGAACGTGCCCTCCTCAATACCCATCACCAGGCTGACCCATCCTCCCACCCCCCTTCCCCTCTAGAACCCTCAGTTTGTTTTTCAGAGTCCATCATCTCTCATGGTTCATCTCCCCCTCCGATTTGCCCCCCTTCATTCTTCCCCTCCTGCTATCTTCTTTTTTTTTTGTTTTCTTAACATATATTGTTTTATTTGTTTCAGAGGTACAGATCTGAGATTCAACAGTCTTGCACAATTCACAGCGCTTACCAGAGCACATACCCTCCCCAGTGTCTATCACCCAGTTATGCCATCCCTCCCACCCCACCCCCCACTCCAGCAACCCTCAGTTTGTTTCCTGAGATTAAGAATTCCTCATATCAGTGAGGTCATATGATACATGTCTTTCTCTTTTTGACTTATTTCGCTCAGCATAATACCCTCCAGTTCCATCCACGTCGTTGCAAATGGCAAGATCTCATTCCTTTTGATGGCTGCATAATATTCCATTGTGTATATATACCACTTCTTCTTTATCCATTCATCTGTCGATGGACATCTTGGCTCTTTCCACAGTTTGGCTATTGTGGACATTGCTGCTATAAACATCAGAGTGCATGTACCCCTTCAGATCCCTACATTTGTATCCTTGGGGTAAATACCCAGTAGTGCAATTGCTGGATCATAGGGTAGCTCTATTTTCAACTTTTTGAGGAACCTCCATACTGTTTTCCAGAGTGGCTGTGCCAGCCTACATTCTCACCAACAGTGTAGGAGGGTTCCCCTTTCTCCGCATCCCTGCCAACATCTGTCGTTTCCTGACTTGTTAATTTTAGCCATTCTGACTGGTGTGAGGTGATATCTCATTGTGGTTTTGATTTGGATTTCCCTGATGCCGAGCGATGTTGAGCACTTTTTCATGTGTCTGTTGGCCTTTTGGCTGTCTTCTTTGGAAAAATGTCTGTTCATGTCTTCTGCCCATTTCTTGACTGGATTCTTTGTTCTTTGGGTGTTGAGTTTGATGAGTTCTTTATAGATTTTGGATACTAGCCCTTTATCTGATATGTCATTTGCAAATATCTTCTCCCATTCTGTTGGTTGTCTTTTGGTTTTGTTGACTGTTTCTTTTGCTGTGCAAAAACTTTTTATCTTGATGAAGTCCCAATAGTTCATTTTTGCCCTTGCTTCCCTTGCCTTTGGCGATGTTTCTAGGAAGAAGTTGCTGCGGCTGAGGTGGAAGAGGTTGCTGCCTGTGTTGTCCTTTAGGATTTTGATGGACTCCTGTCTCACATTTAGGTCTTTCAACCATTTGGAGTCTATTTTTGTGTGTGGTGTAAGGAAATGGTCCAGTTTAATTCTTCTGCATGTAGCTGTCCAATTTTCCCAACACCATTTGTTGAAGAGACTGTCTTAAAAATAACTGAATTTATATTTTTTAATTGGTAATTCAAAACCCATTAAAAACACCAAACCCCAGGACACCT